CATAATGTACAGAATATTAAAACATATATCATCAACTAAATTCCTTATTTTTGGGATTTTATATATATTTTTTAAATTTTTGTTTTTTAAAAATACTTGTCGATCACCAAAACCGCCTAAAATCGGAACCAACTAATTGCCAGTTCTGATCTAACCGAACGGTTACTGGTTAAATCGCCCGGTTTTTCCAATATGGCTTGGGATACTCGGGCTCGCTAAGGTGGTGAGCCCGATTTACTCGGACAGGTCCGGGTTGGCTCACCCGAGTAATCAAACAATGTTATCACCACAAACACCTAAAGGCGTTAGACATAATATAGGATGGTTGGCTGAATAAATTATCTTGAATAGGATACTCAATGAAGAAATTCCTCGCAGATACGATGGCTACCCAATTTCTCATCAGATTTGGAATAGCATATCCTGATCCAGAAGCGGTTAGCACTGACAAATCTTGCTTGGAATAGGGGGATTCTGCCCATTGCGCGCAGGAACCTCCTCTCATCTAGCATCTAGCAAATATTATGAAAACAAAGAAAGACAGATCTATGTAATTTTTCTTAATTTTTATGCCGATTAATCCAATGCATTTTCACCCTGCTGATCGGGATCGGAATGGTTTGCGATCTGCCCCACATATTCATGTTTTAAAACACCGCTTCTTATGATTCGGGATGATTTTGACCATTTTGTAATTAACGTAAATAGAAATTGTCATATAAGTTGTGAACGTTACACTAAAGAAATGACATGCACCTCAAAATCCCATTCTCCGATTGATCACCTCCAACTCGAGATATGTAGATAAGAAAAAAAATAGGATTTGGTATATTAAAGTTTAGTATATTTTATAGCATACTATTTATTTTCAAGATTTTCAAGTATTTATAGATTTGTTTGTTTATGTTTCGCCCACTTTTAAAACATAAAATTTCATAATTAGGGATGAAAACAATTTTCAAGATAAATTAGGAATTTCGGACACCTCAAACTAAATCTTCAAATGGGGTTAAAAAATGGGTATCGTTTGTATGGAGCCTAGGCTCTAAACAATCAAATTAGAGCCTACCTTCAAACAGTGTCGAGAAATGTGGTTTCAATATTGGAAATCTTTGTTATAGACTTAAAATATATTTTTATCTATATTTATAAAGTTTAAAGCTTCAAAAATATTATAGATTGATAGATCTATAAAAACTTGGAAACCTTGAAAATTTATGGTAAAAAAAATGTGTTACAAAATACACTATTTCTAAAACTTGAAATCTTTTTTTTTTTTTTCTCATGTCCATGTATCTTGATGTAGAGATGATCAATTTAAAGATACTTGGGCATCAAAACTGGAAGAAAGACCTATGTGATTTTTTACCGGGGAATAATATTTTTTTTTTTATATATCACCCTTGTTGTTTTAGCAAAAGATCACTTACTGGTGGTCCTTTTACAACAACATATACTTCAAAATAAAATCAACATGGCAATAAAACCAAGATCTTGATGCCATTGAAACAACTACGCACTATGCTTGAGAATAAAAAAAATAAGATTTCAAGAAATAAAAGAGAAGAGTGATGGCTGGGCTTATTACACCCCACACCGAGTCACCACCATCTGATGGCGTGCGATCGATGATCTTGCTTCAATCTCAAACCGAGAAAGCAAGTTTAGGCCAAGTCACGCCAATGGAACATGAACCCATTTGATCACAAATTCAAATCCTAAATGAATTCCCTTAGCAACCTACTTTGAAAGAAATGGATTCTCTTTTTGCTAACCCTAAAAACCCTTAGCAATAAATCCATAGTTGAGAGATGGGAGAGAAAAGAACTCCATAGCCTAATCCCTTAACCCTTTTTCACTATGTGGGAAAGAGAGAAATCAAATATGAGAGAGAGATAGAAAGATAAGGTGTAGAGATTTTGGGTAGAGACAATTCATTTTTATAGGCTTGAACAAGATTAGGGTTTCTTAGGGCTTTCCTTGGCTTGCATCTTCTTGTGAAATTGAACATGGATCATCGATCAAGGGTGTCTTGTGGGGTGAGAGATCTGATCCATCCATTCCATAAATGGGCTATCAACATTATGGAAAGTGCATGAACCCTTATCCCTCTTTTCTAAACTATTTTTCCATCAACAGAAAATAAGTTAAATTAATTTTAATTAAATATTGTGCATTCTATAAAATAGCACATCAATACACATATTTTCCATAAAATCTATCAAAGATATATCAAGTCAATATCTACTTCCATATTAAGTCAATATATGGTCAATACATACTCCATCCATAATCTGACCACAGGTGTTACCAAAACGTAAGGTCACATGGACCACAAAACAAAACTTTCCATAAAATAGAAAGTAGTAAGAGGTGGGGCATGCCACCCATGGGAGGCACATGTGGGCCTCACCTTCTAGAAACATGGTGGGCCCATGTGTACAATGGGCCCTCATGATATTTTTTTTTATGCATTTAAAATTAACAGAATAATTTCTAGTGAATATTAAAACATTGTAAAATCAATATTTTTAATTTTATAAATCCAAAAATTATAAATAAAATATCCAAAGATTCATAAAAATTCAAATAATAATTCTAAAATAATCATTATCATAGAACAAACACAATTAAATTAACTTAATGGAAAATGGATCCATATGGTTTAGGAATTGAATAAACAATCATGGGGACACTCCACCTTCAACTGTGGACTACGGACCACAATTGCTTTATCAAACCGACCCAGTCCTTCTCATGACTCATAGTCCAAGCGAGAGCTCATTAGTGGGTCACCAAAGTCTGGCTGATGAACCAAGGGGTCACAATCCCAGTCTGTGGATTACAGGTCCTCCCCAAGAGAAGAGTCTAGGTCACCAATACCTGATGCGATCACAGCTTTATGGCGTATAGGGAGATATCTCGCACATGCATACGGTTCACCCTAAAAGGTGGATTTATGACTTTCCGAACGGTCTATCAATATGCATGTCGTGTGATGTCACATAGATGAGGTTTTAGCCCCAGTCTCTGTAGGCCACCATCATGCACAAGGGTCACACAGTCCCTCGACTCACTTATCCGAGCATGTTCTTCAACATCATCAAGGGCTAACCCATGGACGCTCATCGGTTTGTTCTTCAAGCCCAAATAACATGGGTTTTTTCCAACCGACTGGCTTAGATCATCAAGCACAGTCTGGTATCTGCAGACATCGTTTGCATTGTATGGTCCACGAGGGACCATACTCCCAATGAGTTCATGTTCCACCATATCATTTCAATTTACAAGCACTCATAAGGCCTTTAAAAGCCACATAAACCCAACAAAAATAACCTCTTCTAGTGAAATTTGTAGTTTAGGCTTTAATTTGATTGTTTAGAGCCTCGGCTCTATGTAAACTTTTCCCTTAAAAAAATACACTTAATACACCATGCGGTAATTGTTTAAGGTAAGCGGCTTTCTAATTCATATATGGTTACATAATTTATTTTTCAATAGTCTAAATGGTGGATGGAATAATTTACATGAGGTCGTCTTGGCCTACTAGTATGATCAAGAATGATGCATTTGAGCGTAGGGTCTATCATTGCATATGATCAAAACCTAGGATAAATCATGTATCGCACATGGGCACAGTACATTACTACCCATTTTGTGTAGTGGAGGATCTTTGGGCAATCATAGCATGACACAATGCAAGTACGCAATCTAAATCCCATCACTAAATCAAAATCATACCCTGCACCAAAATCTCTCTCTCCCCCACCACGCCCACAAGCACCTACACGAGAGGCTCATAGGGGTGGCAATCGCGTCGGGTCGACCCAACTCGAAAAACTCTGTGTCCGGCTCCATATTTTGGACCCTGCCAATTTGGTCCAGGTCCAAAAGACCCGTTGCAGGTAGTGTCTGGGTCTGGCTCACCCCATCGGGTCAAGTCGAGTCCAAGTTGGGGTCGACCCACCTAACGTGACATGGCATAAAATTAGAGTGATTTACGTACAGACCTTAAGATTTTAGGTAAAATATGAAATGATCTACTTATAAGTGAAAATTATAAAGAAGGTCGATCAATCCATTTTTTTTATTTTTAGTTTTTTTATTTTTTAGTTTTTTTTATTTTTGAGTTTTTTTAAAAAATATTTAGTAAGTAGGGCAGTGCATTAAAGTTTGGGGCACTGCCCTAATAACGAAAAACTTAAAAAGAAAAATCAAAATTTGGGTTGACCGAAAGGCAATTAAAAAAAAAAAAAAAAGTGAATTGACCGACCTTCTTTGTAATTTCCACTTATAACCGGAGCATTTTGTATTGGAAAAAGTTTATATAGAGCCGAGGCCCCTGTCTCAAAAATCTCACTGAAAGAAGTCGTTTTGATGCTCAAATATCCTCAAATTGATCATCTCGACATCAAGATTTTTGGTCACAAGAAAAAGATGGATTTCAAGTTTGAAAAATAATGCATCTTGTAACGTATTTTTGGACTATCAATTTTCAAGATTTTCAAGTTTTTATAGATCTGCTTGATCTACACTATTTTGAAGCTTTAAATTTTATAATTAAAGACAAAAATATATTTTAAGGCTATGATAAAAATTTTAAATATTGAAATCATATTTCTCCATACTATTTTGTTTAGAGCCCGGGCTCTACACAAACGGCACCCTTTTGTATTTTATTTAAAATTTTAAGGTCCATACATAAATCACTCTAAAATCTATAGAATTTATAGATATAAAATATTTTCGTACTTTTAAAATTTTTAGACCCCGGTCCGTGTTGGGTCGGGTCTAGTTCCAAATGACTTGGACCTTACCCAAACTTGTCCAGGTCTAAATAAAACCTAATCGGTGCAAGTTAACTTGGACCCAACCCGACCCGTTGCCACCCTTAAAGGGTAAATCACATACTCTCTCTCTCTCTCTCATAAGTGAATGTTCAATTCGCTTAAAGTTACATTTTTGGTTTCTTTGAAAATTTGTTTAACAGTATCCGATTGAACTTTCCTTAAGCTTACAATCCAACAACAAAAATTCGATTTTTTCACTCAAAATCTTGAATTGAAACTTTCCATTACTACATACATACAAATACGGAGAAATTCAAAAGAAAACCCTCCAAATGAAGTTGCATCAACACTTCAGAATGAGCCATTTGCAATGGGTGCTCCCCTCTGAATGCTCTCCAAGTGGGTGGTCTCATAAACAGGCAATCCCTTTGAGTAAACACCAAAGTCATTGCTTTGAAGCTCAAACAAATCCGAACTTGAGTCACTCTCTCCTCCATCATCAATTTCAGAGATCCTTCTAATCCCCTTCTCACTAGAATACACATAACCCCAATTACTTTCTCTCTCTAAAAATTCACTTTCATACTTGGACTTGTGATCAGACCACCCCATACTGTTAGTCACCTTGCCCTCTAGAGCTCCATTTGTTGGAACAAGTGAGGCAGAGGTGTGGTTTCTTGTGCAGCTTGAGAGAGAAACCATGCTATGAAGATCATAAAAGCTATTTAATTCCCTACCTAAGCTTGTTGGTGTTGCTGTGAAAGGAGGGGGGGTTCTGAAATCTGAGCTTGAAGATGAATTATATGTCGAGTCGTTTGAGCTCGCGGTTTGGAGAAGGCTTATGCTACTTCTTCTCCTTCTTCTGCCAAATGGGCTCTCATCATCATCTTTAATGGATTGATTACTGAACATCGATTTCTTCTTCGAAGAATTTTGTGTGAAGAGAGAGTTCAAGAAGCTGGCTAATTTGTTTCCTGGTGAGCTAGGTTGTTTGGATCTCTTCTCCTTTATTTTCTTTTGAGGAGAAGAGCTTTGCTTGTTCATGGGCATGTCTAGGATCCTTCTCTCTCCTCCACATGTTGATCCTTCTCTATTCAAAGCGGCTTTCTGTGAGATTGAACCATTCTTAGCAAAGTTTGTAGAGAGATTTGATCTCTCTTCGCTGAAATACCTCGTCGCTTCGAACACATCGAGCTCGCCTGAATCGTTTCTTCGACGAGGCTTGCCATGGTCTGCCCCATTTGTCAACATGATCTTTATCTGTCTATGTATGTGAGAAAAGAGAGATATAAAGATAATGAGATAGAGATTTGGGGAGAGAAATGGTGACAGAGGTAGAGGGAATGTGTGTGTATACTTGCATGAATGGGTCTGTCACATTAAAGGTGTGGTGGTATTTATCTGTTCCCCTCTGAGAGAGAGAGAGAGGTTCTTTGTGTGTTTGGGAATCATTGAGAGCAGTGGAAGGTCACTTTATATCCTTGAAGCACTGTTGAGTGTTCCTGTAGATGAGGGCCTCACCTTTTTGAAGAGTTAGAGTCCCATAAATTCTTAATTTGCTGGTGATTCATTTGTTGATGCTGAAAAGGGAAACCATGTTTAACTTTTTCTTTACTGCCAGTCCTAGGCTTTGGTCCAGGGGATGCATCTAACCATCAGTTTTTATTTGCTCCACTTCTTGGGAATGCCCAGGAGATGCATCCTACTTCCATTACCTAATGCATTGACTCCTATATTGGCCTCTACCCTCCCTCCCTCCCCCTCTCTCTCTCTCTCTCTCTCTCTCTCTCTCTCTCTCTCTCTCTCTCTCTCTCTACTACTACTACGTACGTAACGTAACGTAACGTAACTAACGTAAACGTAAACGTAAACGTAAACGAAACGTAAACGTAAAC